TTTTCCTTCTTCTCCCATCTGCAGTTGGAAGCTCCGCTGTTACCACTTTTCCCTGCTTCTGTTGTCAATTGGATTGCTAGGGCCTGCCCTTCCTACTGGCCATATATGAGGTCTGTCCAGAAAAAGTACAGTCATTATTAATTGAATGAGGACAGTTTGTGTGACAACAACGTAACCTGGCAGCCAAGGAGAGTGGACTGGCATGCACATGCATGAACAATGATGACTTCACTGGACTAGTCGGTGGAAGCAGTAGACACCATTTGAGTGAGCATGCGTACTGTGTGACCACGCATTGAGTGAGTGAGCAGAGCAACGAATCTGCATCAAGTTTTGTGTTAAGCTTGAACATTCCTTCACAGAAGCTATTTGGATGATTCAGAGGGCCGCAGCTATGGGCAACAGGTGATTGGCAGCTTCATCACGACAATGCGCCCACTCATGAGTCATGTTTCGTGCAGAGATTTTTTGGCAAAACATCAAATCACCCAGGTGGTTCAAGTCCCTTATAGCTCAGATTTGGCACCCTGTGACTTCTGGATTTTTCCAAAACTAAAATCACCTTTGAAAGGGAAGAGGTTTCAGACCATCAAGGAGATTCAAGAAAATATGTTGGGGCAGCAGATGGTGATTGGGAGAACTGTGTGAGGTCCCAACGTGCCTGCCTTGAAGGGGGCTGAGGCCTCATTGTCCTATGTACAAGGTTTCTTGTATCTTCTTCAATAAATGTCTCTATTTTTCATAGTACATGGCTGGACATCTTCAAGTCAGACTTCTTATACTCCATGAGGCCAGGAGCTGTGTCTGATATACTTATCTTTGATTCCCCAGTAATTACTTGTTAAATTATTTGAAAAATAAATGTCAGTGCCTACAGGGAAGTTAGTAGAAGGCTCGACTGGAGCTCATATTTTGACTTCCAGACCAGAGTGTTTCTCTTTTCACCAATGGATGCTGGTATTGCAGATGGCCTGGTGTCCCACCATTAAGATCCGATAATGATAGTTTTTTCCCTTCGTACAGTGTTAAAAATTGGTTAGGGGTGGTGGAGGTAAGATATTAAGCAACTCATTTCCTCTCTCATCAGTTTTTACTTAACTTTTGATACCTGCTGCTCTCTGCTCAGATTTGGTTGTGAACATGTGGTTAGCCCCTCATTACATAGACTTGCAGAGTTTAATTTGTAAACAGTCGGTGGGTGTCCTGCAAAGAATGCCATGAATGCCCTGTCCTCAGTCATCCCTTCGAGCTCAGGAGAAAATGAATTTCTTTTCCATGGTGTGCCCCCGTGCACAGCAGGTTCACATGATGGGGAACCTAGGCACAGGGGACCTGTGACAGCTGCAGCTCCTCTCCCTAGCAAAAGAGCCTTTAGAAGCAACCCGTAAAATGCAGTCTGCATGCTATAAAGTCCTATTCGAATAACCGTCGGAGCTGTCTTCCTGTGCCAGCCCCTGTGCCCTCCTAACACATTTGTGGGATCGCCATTGTGTTATTCCATTTTTAAAGAACTAGACCTGAGGCACCAAGGAGTGCAACAGTTTTCCCACAATTGGACAGGGGAAATCTAAACTCAAATTCAGACCCACTGGATCTAGAGTCCAGCACATGTCTCTCTCTACACATACACACGCGCGCGTGCACACACACAGCACAACACAACACAACACAACACAACACAGCCATGGTCAGAATTTAATTTTCTCTATCAGCAGGGTGGAGACCCCAGAGTCCACTGGTGGCTACTGATACAGACTTTGTTCTCTTGGTTCAGGAACCATGAATTTGAAGCCCCAGCTCTTTTCGATCCCTCCATTATTCTGCTTTGATTCAAGCACAGACCCTGTTAGCAGTTTAACAGGTGGAGGGGCTAGTACTAGAAAGTCCACTCCCATGTACCTTTCCTTCCTCCCTCTCCTATCCTACTGCTCTTTAGCCTTTAGGTGTTGCTTGTTACCTTCCCATTTGTCACCTTCTCCAAATTTAACTCTTACTGCTGTGGTTCTAAAATTTAAATGTTTCTTTTGATTGAATCACTTTATTTTCAATAAACTGGTTTTAAAATAAAACTTTTTACCAACACCCTGATGGGAAAACCTGTGCTATATGACACGGTTAGACTTATGTAAATAAACAAACAAGCCAAGTCATAATCTATAGAAATACATAAAATTTGTCCAAGTTATTAAATTCTAGCATAACACTTTTGGGTCAAAGGGGGAAATGAATGAGTGTCAGGCTAATGAGGAGGGCATGTTAGCACCAAATTGGGATTTTACAATATTTTCCTTGATGTGACCAAAGGATACGAATAATCAAGAAAAGAAAAATCGTTTTTCTTTGTGTTTACTGATCTCAAAACACTTAAGATCTCCTCCTAAGTGTATTGGCTACACCTACCCAGCTTTTTGTCTCTGTGCAGTACACTTTTTATTTTGTGGGAAAGAACAGGAACACTTTAAAATCGAACTCTCTCTGAAAGTGGAGAGCATTGATGCCTGTGTGGTCACTCTTCTCTGCTGCCCTTGAGCTCCATCCATGTCTCGAGAAGTGAGTTTGACAATAACCACCATTGAGCATGTACATGATGAGCTTCAGTCACTGCGTTAGTGCTTTCCATGTGCCATTTCCTTCAGGTGTGGTTTCCTTCAGGTGTGATTGCCAGGTAGGCACTATATGAACAGCAGTGGAAGCCGAGGCCCATTGAAAGGGAGCAACTTGCCCAAGGTCACACCACTGTTAAGTGATGGAATTGGATTCGAGCCCAGGTTTGTCCATCTCCTGAGCTCATGGCACTCAATACATCTGTGTTCTGAAGTGACTGCCTTCAGGGCATTTTGTTTAGAAACACAGTTTTGTTATCAGTAATCATCAGAAAATTGTTCCATGATAGCTGGGAAAGTTCTCTCTTTCCAGTTTTGTATGTTAACAAAAATATAAGCCACTTTCAGAAGGGGGAGTGCATGCATGTGGCATGCTGTGTGCTCCAGTGAGAAATACTGTAAAATGAAAAATGAGATTAATGTTTCAGATTGTACAGTGTCCTAATTATGCTTTTAATTATTCATATAAAACAAGTAAAATGACCCCTGACAGAGACATAAATGATTTAGGTAAAATCAAATATTAATAAGATGCTGCGTGTCCCTGGATATATTTTAAAAGATGCACTCAAAATGCTTTGCCTTCATTCTTTGGATATAAAATATTATTTATAGAATTTATAACAGGCTGAGAGTAATCAATGGTATTTAAGACACTACTGAGCTCATGCCTAGTATTTTTGGCTTTGAAACTAAAGGTATGTGATTAGTTTAATGTAATAGTTTATCTCCTAAAATATCGTACTAAATTTTAGAGATTCTGAGTGACACCGCCCTCCTCGCCCCCCGTCCCCTGGGCCCGGAGTTTACATTTTTTTAATGGTTGAAAAAATCAGAAAAAGAATAATATTCCATGAAACATGAATATTATATCTAAATTTCAGTGTTGATAAAGAAAATTTTATTCCAGATAGCCTGACCCATTCACTTATGTAGTGTGCTTGGCTATGTCTGTGTGCTACAAAGACTAGGTTGAGTAGTTACAACAGGGACCATAGAGTCCACAAAGCCTTAAATATTTACTGTCTCACCCTTTTCAGAAACAGTTTCTTGCCAAGCACACTGTAAAGGTGAAACAGTGTTGTAGAGTGTTTAATCAGCATAAGAAACACTTGCTTTTACTTCATTTTTTGCTTTAATTTTCTGTCCCACTAATTGAACATTCATTGTATATTTTTCAGAAGTTGGAGAAAATCTGCCTTTTGAATGCAATAATAAGGGATTTATATGAGCAGGATTCCTTCCCTTACTTTCAATGCTTTTTTTTATAGAGAGAAGTGCTGAACATAATTGCATTGTTTTAAAAATGGGTTATTAGTCTAGTCCCTATTTTTTCATGAAGACCTAATTTTCATGCAGGAGTGTTCTCTGAAGCTTACACTGGGATTTCTTTAGGAAGAGGGGAGAGTGAGGATACGAGAGCTTTTCCTTGGCTTCAGCAGGCTTGGCTTTTGTTCAAAAACCATTTAGTTAGTATATTGGTGGCATCTTACATTTATTTAGCAGCCAATAAATTTTTGTTGAATGAATGAATTTACCTTAGAAATCAAAAAAGGGGGGGGTTATGACTTATAAAATAAAACGTTTGTATGCATTTATATATTACATTCATTTTAGAAAAATAATTTTCTCTTAGTATTAGTCCAAGTTATTTGCTCTTGATTTCTGTTTTCCATGTTTTAAGGAAGAGTATTTAGGTTTTGAATTGATTGAGGCTCCCTGTGGACATAGACATTCCTACGTGTTCTTTTAGGTGGGCAAAGGTAATTTTTTTTTGGTACTTGTAATGAATAGGAGCAATAAAGTAAATTTAATCTGCCATGATTTGAGTGGCAATGAGTAGAACTTTCACTGTACTTTCCTGAGCATCTTTACATACAGCGAATGCTGTGCCTAATTCCAGCTACCTTTTCATTGTTGTTGCCTTAATATTAGAAGAACCTGAAAATTGTATTTTCTGATTATCATGTCTAGTTTTTCCGATTAAAGAAACGTGCCTCTCATGTTTGGCTTAACATATATATTTCCCTATGTATTCCAGACCTTGAATTTTGGGGTAGCCTCAGGAATCTCATTCCCCTGATAATTTTGATCTTTAAGCAGATTTAGGAGTCCCTAATTCAGAGTCACTTACGCTATTATTGTCTTACTTTTTTCATGTGTTAAATAGATTAGGAATTCTGAGACCACTCCCGGGGAATTTTTATGATTTAGAGTCCCCACTGGTCCTTTCTGCAGTTAGAATGTGCTAATTCACTGAGGCTACTTGTTTTTGACTTGTTTTTAACAGGTACATGAGGAAATGTGATCATAAATTTGATTTGAAGCAACAGAAGAAATCTTTCAAGTTTGGTTTTGAAACTCACTTTGTTTCTCTCGCCTTCCATTTTTCCACAGTTGCCATCCTTCTAAAAGATGACTATTTTGTCAGCGGCGCTGGCCTCCCTGGCAGATTCAAAGCCGAGAAGGTCGAGTTTCACTGGGGCCATAGCAACGGCTCTGCAGGCTCTGAACACAGTATCAACGGCAGGCGCTTTCCTGTCGAGGTGAGAGGAACTCGGAACTCCTGACATCAGAGGGGTAGCGGTGCCTTGAGTCTTTACACTGATAAGATGTTTTTATTTATCCCCAGTCATTTTTCAAATCAAACGAGTCCTGTGCCTACCTTTCTCTCTGGAAGTCTTTTATGTAGAGCATGACAGGTGAATACCATCCTCAAGCTTCTCAACTTTGTTTAACTGGAGAAGCATTTAGACATCACAGACATCATGGATTTGGTAGTTCACATCTGGTTGATAATTTTCAAGCATTTATTTCATTTGACCGAGTTTGTCTTTTCCCTGTTCATTTTTGAAATCCTGCTTTCTAAAGGTGAAATTTTGTATGAAACTCAGGTAACTTCATTTTTGCCCTTTGGAATAGAGAAAAGTTAGTTATATGAAGAACAGTCTCAGTACTATTTCTCAGTAGGGAAGCTGTTTAAGGTTTTTTAAGGTTTGTTTGCTCCTGTCAGCTATTAAAAAAGGCTGTGGCCATTGGTTATATGACTCCCTGTTAACTTTGCTGGGATCGATGGTGACATTTTGCCTCCATGGCAGTTTTCTGAAAGATCCATGCTGCTAGACAGAATAAAGGTCTCGGTGCAGCAGGTCATGTCTGTTTTTGGTGAAGGAGGGAGTGGGAAAGAACAAGTCTCCAAGCTCCCTTAGTCATGTTGGATGGAGGCAGAATACTCCTCCCATTGCTAACCTTATTTTTACCTTTAATAATGATCACGATGTGAATATTCTTCTGTTGGGACAAACATTCATTGGTTGTTTTATTCCCCATGTGATAAGCTTTACAAATTTGTGGAAGAACTGAACAGTTGTGCATTCTGTCTAGCCTATGACTGGACACAAACATGGAATAACAACTTCTAATGTTTTATAACTTCTATTAAGTCATGACCTACTTTGACAATCTGATGCATACTTGAGACTCCCCCCAACCATAGAGAACACACACGTATTTACACATAGATTTGTACATAATTTATTGGATTTAATCACTCACCTTAGCTCCTGAAGCTCATTGATTGACCCTTTCGAGAAATTCGATAACATTTGTTTATAGATACCTGTATCTACATATAATTTGTTTCTTATGCATGCATGCATGATTACTGGAGAAACCAGATACAACTACTCTTTGAAAATGTTTCATACTTTTTCTTGTTTACCTGAGAATTTTTTAAAAATTATTTTTACTGTATTTTTTCCACTACCATTTAGTTTCCTTATACCCCCACCCCAAACCCCACAATCACCACACAAGAACTTACTAATATCAAAATTTTTCTGTACCAGGATATATCTATCTGTGGGACTCCTGTCCTGCTCACACTAATTATAAGTCTCAAGAATAGGGTTTCTATTTAATGGGTTCTCCCCCTCCCCTTTAAATTGAATAAATCATTTCTTTGAAGTCTTAGCTTTATTTGTACTTGGAAAACTTGATTCCTAGAAGCAAGATTTCATCTTATTTTTAAATTTGGGTTTTCCCTTCTGTTTTTGCTGACTAGTTCCAATGGGCAGTTTGAGTGGAAGGCATAATCTGTATCCAACTAGCTTTGCAGCAAAGCCATTTTATCTTAGAATAGGGTTGCCATTTGTTCAGTTAATATTGTTCTGAACAAAAGATTTTGTGCTTAAAAGTTTGAAAACTTATTTTGGTGGCTGCCTTGGAAAAGAATTCTGGAGTCAGCAATTAGGAACCCCTACTGTTCCCTAATCACCTCCATTCATGCCAAGATGGGCCTTTCTCCTTCTCCAATTTGGTTCTGGAAAAATGCATAGACTAGCTGCATATTCTTTAGAAAACATTGCTTGAAATGAATACTGTAGTTTTCTTTTACTCCAATAGTGCCATGAAAATGCATGACAAAGATACTAATGAGAAAGGGCAGCTACAATGCCCAGATGTATTATTTGACCAAGTTGCTTGAATTTATTTCTTTTAAGTAATGTGAGATGGTAAGGCTATGGGTATTTCTTGGGCTTCTCATCCAATCTAGTTCATAGCTTTTTTTTAATATATGTGATAAATGTGTTAAATTACTTAATGTATATAGGTGGAGGAACTTGACATTCAGAGATCAAAGGTAATGGGATCAAATTTTACTTTAAAATATGCACAGAAAAATTGCTCACTTTTGCCTGAAACATGTCCGTAATATTTTATGTTAAATTTCTTTATTTGAGCTCTTTATTGATCCCAGCTTTTCTTGAGATTTTTGCACTATTTGAACATCTCAGACATGTTTTTTTTTTTCATATAACTATGTTGTTGTTTAAGGAATTGAAAGTAAGAAAATTTTAAGGTATCAAGTAGTAATTTATCAGCATTGGGGACATTATTTATTTGTCTTGTATTCTGTGTCAGAGAAGAGCCATTGTTGAAGATTGCACTGGAGAATATAGCATTGTCCCCCGCTGCAGACAGTGACCTGCCCTGTGGGTGGGGTGAGGAGCATCACATGTTGTCCGGGGGGCAATTTTGGTTGCCACTATTGTGGGCAGTGGTAAGCTACTCGCATCTAGTGGGTAGAGGCCAGGGATGCTGCTAAAAATGTCAATTCATAGTATAACCCCCATGACAAAGAATTTCTCTGCCCCAAAAGTCACAGTTGTGAGCCTCTGGAGTAGAGAAAGCAGTATGTTTAGTAGAAGTGAACCTTCCTTTACTTGTGTGGCATCGTTTTCAGTACAATTGAATAATGAGGACTCATTGCTTGAGAAGTTGTTTCATCCTCTTGTAGTTTTTAGAGAGGAGATGCACCTTGCCTTATGGGTAAGAGCATCACTGGGCCTGGTTCCTTGAGATGCCTCCTGAGATAGTCACAATACTGGGTATTTCCGCAGCTGCCTCAGTGCTTCAGCTCTGCAGGTGGAATATTAAGCATATGCTCCACAAGAATCTGAATCTGCTCCCTGAGGGTAAATTGCAACAAACCCAATTTTGTAGGTTTTGCTGCTTCCCAGGAATTCTTGGAGGTCATCTACAACTTTGTACACATCAGAAATTAGACCTCTCCACATTTTCCTGGCTGAAATCCTAGACTTGGTCTTGTAGTTCCGACACTTAAAAATGTCCAGTCTAATAGAAAAATAAATGTCCTTGTAAAAATAAAGCCATAGCCTCTCAATAGCCAGCATTCTTTATAGCCTAGTTAAAGCTAGAAAAGAAATTAGGTATTAGTTTACAAGCCATACCTAGGAGACTTGCCCAAATTTGGATCCTCAGATGTCCCCACCACTTACTATTCAGCTTTATTTCTTGCCTTGCAGCAATTTTTCCTTACGTGTTCTTTTTCCTGTAGATGCCAGGTTACAAGGTAAACCAGAAGGACAGAGTCCCTACCCTTAAGGTATTTACAGTCTAGTCATAACAAAGATATTGAACAAATGGTCGTGTGAAAAGCTGTGCAGTATCAGTTGTGATATAATCTCTGAAGGAGGACCGTTTTGTCACAAGTTAAAAGACTTCTGTGGAGGCAGATGTTTATTAATATATAAGATACTTACTAAACGATATTTATTAAGTTGGAAGAGATGAATTACATCCTTCCTGAAGAACATGTATATGCAAAGGCCCTGAGGCAAAGGAATAGTTGGTAAATTTAATGAATAAAAAGTTATCAGTGAGGACTTTGGTAGACAGGATAACGGCACCCCCGAAAAGGTCCACCACTTAACCCCTGAAACCATGGGCATATAACTTTATATGACAGAAGAGACTTGGCAGATGCCATTCAGTATCTGAAGTCAGAAGACTCAGGATATCCCAGTGATTAAAACGGTGACATCACAGTGTCCTGTTCTAGTGTTCTAGTTCTTGCTTGGCTACTGGACTTTGTGTTTTTTGTCTAATCACAGTTACCTAGTACGGCTTCTGTCCCGTCCCAAATCTCCCTATCCCATTCTCATACCCTGTTCTGTGATTGGTAACTTAAATGAATGTTCATGTGAGACAAACAGGGACTGAATTCTGTGCTGTTTCCACAAATAGCTGAGGTTGGAGTTAATGCAAAGAGAAATCTCCAGTTAAAACCTCTGAGAGCTCCATTAAAGTGCAGGTTCATTGCGTGCTTGTTGTCTGAGGTAATTAAAATCTTATTTATTACAATAATAGATTGCAGGAGTTGTTGATTCAGACTTCTTGGTGCTTTATGAGTTGAAGTCTTCAATAAGCTTAAATGATCCAAATTGATTGTGTGTGCCCTTTCCAGTGAAACTCACAGCTGGTTCATTTCAGCTCTGTTTAGAGCATCTTAGTAAGTAAGCAGAGGCAAAGACTTTTTTCCTAATATATATGAAGTACACATTACCATATGGTACAGGTCTACAGTCCCTTAGCTGAAACCCTGGAGGCCAGATGCTTTAGCATTCAGAATGTGTTTTCTAGAAAGGTATTATGTACATATGCCGTATGTGTTACAGAGGACGTGTAGTAGGGTCTGGGACTATACCCCTTGAATACATTAATATTTCTGCAGCATGCAGATGAATATTTACACTAAATAGGAAATAACAGAATTCTAAAGAGCTTCACATCTCTCCACATCAGGTTTTACTGCTGAATTCCTTTTTGCACCAAAATCATAAATAAAAACAGTAACAAAACACCTTTGTCTTGGAAGCTTCTGAGATATCATAATTACTAATAAAGGGTTTATAGACCTGTGTTTTAAAAACTGGTGCGGTAGCATGGTCCACAAAGAGCATGAGTTAGCTGTGACCGTGACGCCAGCACAGTGAACTGCTTGTCTGCCTGGTGGGCAGGTGTGTCCAGATGCTACCCTCGTCCTCCTCCCCGCTTTGCTTCAGTGTTGTACCAAATTCTTAGTCAAAGTCAAGGCTTGTTCAGGGGCAGAAGGTCACCAGTCTTCGGCTGACTTTTCTTTGATTCATTTCCATTTTCACATTGTTTGGGTCAGCAGTTGTATTCAGTCTCCACGTCTTTGGGTGGTGTGTTCCTTTGATCTGCTCCTGTATTTTTTCTGTTT